CTCCGCGCATGAGGGATGATCGCACCACGTTGTGTCAAAATGGTCAAGCACCCTCGAAGCAGTTACACAGTGCTTACAACTGTCTCTGGAAGTGAAAGCACCAGGAATTAAATTAAGCCATACGCAGCTGTCATCCGTACGCAAGCAAGCAAGCACAAGATGCCGAACACCCTTAGCAGGATGCAGCGCACCCTTCATGCGACTCGCCGAATATCTCACGGCGCTTCGCGCTTGGTGATGTGAGAGCCTGGTCCGGTGAGAACCCGGCGTGCTCCGTCCCGGCTTTGTAGGGATGCGAGGTCAATGGTCTAACGACTACGGCATGCACGACTATGAGTATACCCCCCCCCCCATTACCTTTTCGGCCTGGAAGCATAGTTTCTTTGTTTTAGCCCCGGGGTAGATGTTTTCGACCAAAAAAAAGAAAAATTCCCCGGGTATTTCAATTTCCCCCCGGGGTACCAGTTTTCCCACGAGTTCCCCTCGGGAGGGCTGCACTTCTCTGTTTTTCTGAGTCGATTTTGTTGCATCGCGGAGCACACAACGCATGATGTGGGGATCATTTGCAGATCTGCGGTTCGAGCCAGATTTAGGTGTACCGTTGGTCACTGGAACGCGGGCCCTCCCTCTTCTTGGTGTCACTCGTGGGACGAGACAAACTCCCCCAGCTGCTGTCCTCCTTGCTGTATTTTTTCTCTTCGCCTTCGTTGCTCTTACGTTCCTCCTCCCTCTGCTTGTTGAACGCTTGCTCGTAAGCCTTATCCATCTCGGTTTTGCCACTCTCTGTGTGTTTGGTGTGTGGACCATCACTATTTTGCACAACCCCGCAAGGGGGGGCTTCCCCCCGGGGTAGCGTTGAAAAAAAAAAAAACACCGTACGTCAATTTTCCCCCAGGGGGGTCGGTTTCAGAACAAAAAAATGATCCCCTCCCCGGGGGGAAAACTCCGACGTTTACGGTACATGCACACCAGTCATGTCAACAACATATCTTGTCTCTGGCAGCTAGACCGCAGTCAGTCCCACCCCCCAAAAAACGAAAAAGCGCCGACACTGAAGAATGTGCCACACTTACGCTTCCGGCTGTGCCGCGAGCAACACCCACCTGTCCCAGCGAGCTGAGGCGAAGTCGGAGAATTTTGTCGTAGAGGACGGTGGTGGTGCTGATCCTCAGCTGCATGCCCAGCGTCCACCCCACGAAAAAGAAGTGGTGATGAAAAAAGCTGTAACATGTGAAGCAGCCGGCCGGGAAAGTAGTGACGGTTGATCCCAGCACGCCGTCATTGTCCACGGAGAGTCGAGAGGCCCACAAGCAAATAGTGTTCGGCGAAGAGAGAGGACGGGGCAGGACGGGATACATAAACCTGTGAAGCAGAGGAACGAACTTGACAAGAAAAACAGCAGGTTCATAGAATCCAACCATGGATGCCGCTTGCCACACCAAGCCGCGACTGCACTAACGCAAAACCAACAACAACCACCACCGCCACCACCACCAGCGCCCGCAGCTAAAGGACAGAATAAGTAGCATCAGCTCGCCTGAACAACACCCCGCCCAGCACGACGGCCGAGGCGTAGGCCCAGCCCTCCCAACTCTCCGAGCTGTCGTCGTCGAAGTATCCGATCAGCCACCCCAGCGATAACGCCTGCTTGTTTACACCCAGGGGGTCGGTCCCGAGTTACAGCGACAAGGCGCGGGGTTAAGAGGAATGTTTCAGGGTAGGGGTATTGGGAGGCTCCTTCACCCGGCGGCCAGAACACTAAGAGAGAGCCTCGGGGCATCCCTGGTGTGCCACCTACGCGGTGAAAGACCCCCCCCCCCAGGACCCCAGGCTCTGAAGAAGATGCAGAGCCGTCCTGTTCCCTTTACGATGCCCTATTGGGAACATAGCCGCGACGGCATCCAAGCCCGCAACAATGCCCTCCCCATCCCTTCAAGCCGCTACTCGACAATGGCCACAAGATTGCGCCGCCAACCTCTCTCCCCCCACCCCCCCAACCCCCGTCTCCGCCTGCTTGCCCCACCTGAAGGATATGGATGGCGCTATCCCCGATCATGAGCAACGCTGTTAGCGCCAGTCCCCGCTTGAACGTGGCAACCAGAGCCCTCAGGAGGGTGGTGCCCTTGCGCCTGCCGCGGCTGTGCTCACTGTCTCCCCCCATCTTGGACCTCTCCCTACACATGACCCATGTGACGGTTGGGGGCGGCACAGCGGGCACCAATCAAAACTTCCGGCGTGGTCCCGCAGAACCCCCCCGCCACCACCAAGCTGGAAAGGGACTACCATCACATGTACCTGGAGCACTACAACGCAGTAGTGCTGCTTGAGATTCATCAGAGGAAAAGCGCTACAAACTAACAGCGCGGTCAGTCAATCATCTTGCAAGTGGTATGCTGCAACAGATTTCGAGGTGTGAGAGCCCACACCTGCTCCTAAAGCACCCACGGAACGCTCGATCGAGCACACGTGAGAGAGAAACGGAGAAGGAAGGCGATGATGGCAAGGAACATGAACAAAGGAACGTGCCAACCATGAGAGGGTAGACCGAGAATCCGCTTCACCAAACCCAAAACCTTCACCGAAGCACCCCTGTTTCGGCCAACCGAGTGCGGATACCCTTCCTCCGCCCCCCCGCTTAAGGTTATGGTCGCGTCAACATATGGAGGCTTGTCGGGCCGGCCTCCTCTCGTCTGCACTCCGCCGTGTCACAGAGATGCAATCATGATCGTCATCTTTATGGAGTTTAAGTAGCATCCTAATCCCTCCAAAAGCACGATTTTGACACTCACAATTCCCAGTTGCGTCGAAGCTTGTCATAGAGGCGCCGGCTGTGTTTGGGCGTCGTCCGGTTATCCCAAGCGAAAACCCCACAAATGCGGCATGGAGGTGTGTACCGTGAGAGAGGTGAATCGACAATTACGGGGGGGGGGG